GAGATGCCATTTAGAGCCAAGCACTAGATCACGGTGCAAACGAGTCGCCGGTACTAAAGTTAGCTTCTCTATGGGATCAAGCAGTCAGCGTACGACATCTGCTCCTTAAACAGTACTAAATGAGTAACAGAGAACAGTCATGGTGAAGAGTGACATTGTACCCTGCGTCTGAAGAACAACTTGTTGAGCGCAGGAGGTAATTAGTGAACCACTACGAGACCAAACTTTGCCCTGGACCAACAGGCTGTTGCCTAAAAATTACAGTATAACAGATGAGTCAGAACCAACTGCGCACTACTGTTTTACTTTGGCCGTCACTGTCGCACTCAAGGAGTATCCAGTCGTCGAACTTAATGTCTCGACAATGTAACCATGAGCAGTAGTCGAGCGTTGTGCTCTTTTCCACTTGCAGGTTCTGCTTTGAACAGAGCTCGATGGCCGCCGCATGCAGGCCTGCGTACGTCAGCATTACCATTAGGGTGCTACCGTGAGAAAACCGTTCGTCTACAAATAAGAAACCTGTAGCATCTTAGAGGTAGCAATTATGGGTGACAACTAACCGACACCTGCCGCGCTTTTCAACCACAGAAAACAGCGTCTGTCCGAAGCATACACAGACTGACGCTGATCACCTACGACGCGAAAGTCGAACAGAACACGCAACGGCTGCAGATAGTAATTAATCCACGATCGGTTAACGGGACACCGTGAAGAAAGCCTAAATATCTACACGCATTCACACTGGATTTCGCAATTACATACGCATAACTCCATACATTGTTTCATCAATGAGACCACACATTTCCGGCCTTACTACCTTTGTCATGGAACTTTCATATTTGATACCATCCGGCTCGGTCTATAAACAGCTTATTAGCATGTAAATAAGGCGACCTAAGAAATTGCAGAAATCGAAATCGCTTTCGAACATACTTTATGAAACGAGATTTCCGCGCTGAAAATGCACTTGTCGTCTTGCAACGCGTTGACCGTACGGCAGCTGAAGCTGTTGCCACAAAACGACTTCTCAACATGATAAAACGTCCGTTTGTGAATGTCTCCTTAAACTTTAAAAATGAAGGACAAAATGTCGATATAAGTCATTAATAATCTGTACAAAGAATTTCCAAAAACGCTTAGCAACCACTGAAAAAGTGTCTATGATGTGGTTAGTCAGGATTTGCATGCATCTTGGCAAGACAGGACACAGCTTCACGGTATAAAACCACTTGTGGTGCACGGATGCAAATATCTTTATCTACATGGTCCGAAACGTCAGATTTCCCTAATTAAAGAACATTTTATGCGTTGTCTTCACGTTTGTGACTAACCAAAAGAATATATATATATCTCGATAATATATAATTATAGTTATCGGTATCGATAACTAGCAGCATGCTAGTAAACCCATAAATCTATCAGCATCAAATCATTCATGATACGGTATTTGTTATGAACTTCAGAGGTTACTTATGCTGCATATTCTATTTAGAAATGACTTTAGCTGTGACAGTTCCTTTAGTTCTTAATGTAACGCCTAGGTTTTCATAACGGAAGTCCTCATCAGGATGTTGCATAAAAATGTCACAATAACTAAATTATGGTTCTCACCTTCCTGGTCAATCCGATTTAGTTAACGACCGCAATATTTCAAAAAATCCAATTTTGATTTTTATCTACCAAGCGGTTCACATATGTTCACATAAACAAAAATCGCAGAAACGTCATAAGCTGATCGCATGTTCAAGTAAGCGAAATAGCGAATGACTCCTCCAAGACCAGATTTCGCGATGTATTTTACCTTCTCTCACAAATACGGATATTCCCCTTTGTATCTTAACTCAAACGCTCTTCATTCAAGATATGCTTCCCACAGAAAACCGGTATCATCATATCTGATACCCATCTACTTCCATACAGATATTTCAGATGCTCTTAAATGTTGCCCTCATAACAAGGCTTCTGAGTTATTTACAAAACTCACAACCCACATTCTGTATAAGCAGTTGAACCCCATAGCAAACTTGGACAAAACTAACATTGATAAAAATGACAAAATAAAGTTTGAGCAAAGTCAATGTATGATTAGAAGAACCTTTTTGAAAATTCCCGTACTGGTGCACATCCAAAAGCAATTTCATTCATAAAGGAGTCACGTTTCGCCACTGCAAATGAGAAAAGCTAGCGCCTTTTATTAGAATGCAGTTTCTTATAGAATGATTCATATTTGAAGGATGTATGACAACTACAAGAGTTCTGTGAATATCTGTTCAGGCTGGCAGCTTCTGATGTGATTCCTATCTTTCATTTTAATTTCCCTTTTCATTAGCTCAAACCTTTCATTGATTTCCTTTAATTTCCGTTTTTGATGCACTTTCAAGACCCAGCTATTTACCACACACAGTTTAGAAATTATACCTGTACTTGTAGATCACATTTTTACTATAACTCTGTTGAAAATTTTTGTATCATCCAGAAAATGGTTTCCGTTCGAAGGATGTAATTTCGATTCAAGTTTGTAAATCCATCATGCATACTTCTTTTAAGAAGTAGAAAAGAAAATGTCTTGTTTACTGTATCCAGAGATAGTTGTTGTGCTTGTTGTTTAGAGAGCTTATACAACAAAGTAACCCAGATTTATTGCCTGAGCACTAAATGGAGATCGTAGGTTTGGTCGATGAGAACTACGTTACAAAAACTAATAATCCATTGATCGCTCAGCAGAATGAGTAATAATCCTATTAAAGTAAAACCGGAATTTAATATAAAAAGATACTCTTTCAGAGATTCAATAAAAAAAGGTTTTATTGAACGTCGGGAAGCCGCAACAGCTAAATTGGGCGAGAAAATTCAGTACTAGTTCTAGTCATCGCTGGAAAGGTGTAGAGCATCACTGCGCTTTGGACTACACTTTGTGTTGATTATCACAGTGAACAACCAGCTTTGAAGTGGGTCAAGACGAAGCGCAGCCAGAAGAGGCGCTCGCATCTGACAGCATAGCCATATACCTCGTCCATCCCGGTAAAATCATACCAGAGCAGCATTCTGTTCCAGTTATTCACAAGTGAAAACTCGTTTTTATCCTAGTTGCACTGAAGCCACGCAAGGAAAATTCCTTGTTCGAGGGAAAATAAAGTTTATGTCAAATTCTGTACTTCAGAGCGACACGAACTCGGCATATTCACAGTTAAAGCCGATCTCTCTATCAACGAACTGCTGTGTCCCAAACTGACATTATGGAAGCGGTTGCCAAGCATCGACTTTCCGATAGCTATTCAACAGAAATAACAGCGGCTGTCATCAGTATTCTCAGGTTGAATTATTTACGACCCACCAGCCAGTCTTTGACCTTCCACACAGAAACTCGTGGCTGTTCAATCGACTGATCACTGGTCAAGGTCGGCATAAACCCAAGGATGACTATATACTGGGTTACACAGTGCATGTTTTACATTGTCAATCAATGACCGAAAAAAACGCCTGGTAGTCTTGAACTCAGTTTCTGATTCTGCAGCACTATAACACTTATCTCGCTGCTTATGCACTCGATAAGTAAATGTAATGTCCAAGACTGCCTTTATATGTTATTTCAATGACATTATCATTAAATTTCAGTTCATCAGCTAAGGTTCAAATCAGTTCCAATGGTGGTTTGATTAAAGCAGATGATGTAGCTCTAGGTGAACCAAATTTCCGCAGGAAGTCAAATGAGTGAAAATAAAATATCTATATAAGTCGAACGTAGATAGACCTCATTCTAAACGTTCACTTGCTCAGACGTGAAAGTGACGACAAAAAGTCGGCTTTTTTGGTAATAAGTTCCACGATGGGTCAGATCTTTCTACCGAGCTATCTTTTCGAAACCCTTGTCATATGCAAATTAGCCTCATGAATTAGTTTCGAGTTTCATAACAGATTTTCTAGAATCCGCTAAACGCGTCATTTGTATTATTCTTCTTGCTCATCACAAGAATTTTGCAATAATTTAATCACTAATCTTTAAAACAAAAGTTTGAATTTACCTTCACTGACAAAGTACGACTGTAGACCATTAATATGTTGAGTGTCCGGCACCGTTTCTGTTGCCACGAAGATCGAATGAGCCAACAGCTGCCCGCCGTAAACCCGATTGCATTCCTCCACCTGAGGTATTTCGACTGAACTAGAAAAGAACGATAATCTGATATACGCAAAATAAACTACAAATAGGATGCATAATACATGAAAGGAAAAGCCTCTCTTAGCAGTTAATCTATTTAGTGAAAGGCCTGATCATTACTACAAGTCTAAACTCTAATATGGGTTAGCGATTATGCATAAGTTCTATTATATTAAAGAGATAAACAGGCCAAAGCACTAAGAGTACATATACATAAACAAATACATAAAAATTATAAAATAAAATTTTTGGCAATAGGGCATGAATAATTATATAATTAAAGGCTTCACCTATTGTCTTCTAGGATAAACAGGGGCAAAGACCTTTATTCTTTTGCCTGCATTCAGAACCACTGACCTTTCAACAGAATGACTGAGTTCATACCTTAAAAGCAACAGACAGATCTATCCAAATCTCATCTACTACAGTTATTACCCCATTAGCCGAACACTTCAGAGCTCAGAAAAAGCTTCCAGCAGGTTGCAAAGAAATTATTCTTTATTGTGCCATGACTAAGCAAGCGATTCCTTAATTTGGTTATAGCATATTTTCCATTACGTGATCAGTATCTACATTAAATTTATCAAATTATCAAGTTGTTATAACACTCCGTCTAACACACTATTATTGGGTCGGAGAAAAGCAGATAATCATCCCTACCTAGTGAGATCAACAAGTGCTGCCCACACACAGAGTTATCTACATCTCTAATCAAAAAAAGTTATAGGCAAAAACAAGCTGAACTTTTGTTATTCTGTGAATGAGTCCACAAGCAGCAATCATTTCTATCAATCCCATTCCTCTTCCTTATCCGAGTGACAAGTTATAATCAAAGATGAGGCACTGATAACGGAATGTCTTTCTGTTGTGACATGATGAATCAAAGATTTGGCAGAGACTGACAGAAATATATCTTAATTACACAAATTAAAA